TAATTTTCTTCCCCATACTTTTATCTTTCTCCTTTTCTAAATGAGAATATATTCCTTTTATAGTTACAAAAAGATTATTAAAATAAGACAAGTCTTTTTTTAGTTATCATTTTAAGTAAACAATCATTATATGCTAGATACTTCGCAAAAAGACAAAACAAAACACTGCTATTCAGCCCATTCTAACTCCTGTAGCGACTCTACATGGGGCTCTAAGACTATAAACATTTATGGACGTAGACAGCCTCATCTTTTGCCCCTGGAGTAGCTGGTGGGTTTGAACAGTTGACTTTGCAGTTAACAGCCCAACACCTAATCCACAGCGCCACCAGAGCTCCTCTACTTTGTATATACTAAGACATTTAATCCTCTCAACATTAGAAGATTTTTTAAAACAACATGTATTGTTACTTTAATTAAAAGCTACATATCACATTGAGACAAACTAACCCCAGTCTGTCATTCCATGATCAGAGGTAAAGATAAATGTGGTTTTCCCATCATTTCCATAAAAATGCTTAAATACCGACACAATTTCTTTCACTCCATCATCAACTTTTTTAATATTGTCTTGGTATTCCCTGTTTAAAAAGAAACAGAAGAGCAAATTAAATTACACTAATTTATAGAAATCAAATTTAATCAACATGAACTCATAATATTCAAATGCTTTTAGATTTTATCTTTAGTATTTAAAAACCAAAGCTCTTTAGGTTGTTTTAGTCCTTTAAAAGAAGCAAAAAAAAAACTTAACCCAACTCTTGGAAATTAACTAAAAGTAGAGTATGGATTAGCAAATCAATTTTAATGAGTCCTTTTAAGTCCCCAATACAATAATATGATGGCTTTTATATTCACATCTTTCATAAAACAAACTGTTTTGATCTTTACATATTAAATAGGTAAATACTGTCAAGTACAGAATATTTGTAGCCCTTAAATTGTTTTTGATATAAAATATAAGAATAGATTCCATCTCCACTGAGTAGTATCCAATCTGTCTAGGTGGGGCTGATGAAAGGAAATGAGGATAGGTCTCTCATGACACAATAGTGAGTAATTGTTATCAGGACTGACTGTGAGGGCTGGAAATGTAAAGGTAGATGTTTTGCAGCAAGGAGGGGAGTGATTAACTTTGCAGTCTAGGAGTGGAGGTCCCTGGGACCATCAAGGGAGAGGAGCGGAGAGGAGGACCCTACCCAGAGAAGCAGTGACGCCAGAGATGGAGGCAGAGACGATGACGTGAAGAGATGGAGTGACTGGGGACTTTGGACACAGAGAGGGAGAGTGGCTGTGTGCTGACAACCAGGGGTGGGGCAGCATGGAGGAGATTGTAACCATGGCAATGAAACGATATACGATAGGATGAATGTAAAACTAATGTTCTCCCATGTAAACTATTACATAATTCACAATAAAATATTTTTAAAAAAAGAAAGAAAGAATAGATACCAACAAATAGTATTTAAGTTTTCCCTAGAGTTGGACAAGGTTGGTTTAGTATGAATCTCGTCTGTTGAAGCAGTGCATAATGTAAAAGAAGGGGAAAGGAATACTCATTACTAACCACGGCAGCTCCCCCATAAGCTTTACATGACAGTTACACTGACCTAGACCAAATTCACAACACAGAGTTAATGCATAACATGGATTCTTCCTTTACTTGTGGGGTGCAAAAGTGAGAAAAATATTTGCTGTAATATATAAGGCGATGGTGGTGGTAGTGTGCCATCGAGTCGGTTCCAACTCATAGCGACCCTGTACAGGGTTTCTGTAAATCTTTATGGGAGCAGAAAGCCACATCTTTCTCCCATGAACGGCTGGCTGGTAGTTTCAAACTGCTGACCTTGCGGTTAGCAGCCTAACTCATAACCACTATGCTACCAGAGCTCCTTGTAATATATAAGGAATGCTACTAAAATACAATGGACTCCGGGGTGTGGTGCTGTAGAATCAGCACTGGACTGCAATCCACAAGGTCAGCAGTTCAAACCCACCAGCCGCTCCTCGGAAACCCTATCCAGGGTCACTGGAAGTCGGAAAGAACTCTGGTAGCACAGTGGTTACGAGTTAGTCTGCTAAACTCAAGGTCAGAAACTCCCAGCCATTCCACAGGAGAAAGACAAGACTTTCTGCTCCCGTAAAGACTTACAGCCTCAGAAACCATATGCAGCATTGCTATGAGTCAGAACTGACTCCACGGCACACTGCCACCACCACAGTGAAGTCAGAACCAACTCGATGGCACTTAACAACAACACACGTGGGTACATTTTTTGTACATTTCAGTGGTTGGTGTTAAGTGAGATCAAGTCAATTCCAACTCACAGAGACCCTATATAGGGTTTCTGAGGAGCAGTTGATGGGTTTGAACTGCTGACTTTGTGGTTCGCAGTCCAGTGCTGATTCTACAGCGCCACACCAGGAGTCCAAGTATGTGCTAGACACAATAATAATAATTTAAGAAACAAGAAAGAACAAATTACATTTCTTGCACAAAGGTTAACACCATAAAATACATTGCCAAGAATTACTAAAAGTATTTCTAGAATATATCAAATTTTTCTACCTTGCTAAATGAAGAATATGGAGTAAATGTACAGAAGAATTTTTACTTGTATCAGTGTATAATTTGACTCCAATAGATATGATTTTCACCAATAGATCCTAGTATAGCCCATATAATTGAGAATTTAATTCTACATTCCCATAGTTATTTTAAATATTAGTTCTGTTTTTACAATTACAAAGGAAACATCACATTTTTAAACACTGAAGCAAAAAGCTGTTTCCCTCAAAAAATCAAATTAAAGGCAACATGACAATTACCTCGAGTATGGTCGATGAGCATGTCCATTTGTATCTATTCCTAATAAATGCAAGAAAAAAACTATTTTCTCATCATTTAGCTTAGCAAATAAAGACTGGTTGTTTCTGGCATCATGAAAGAAGTCCTATATATAACAAATAGTTCAAAGAATTAGTTTATTTTGTTAAATAATAATGATGAAAACAGTTCATTAAAATTATGCTAACTATAACATTCAATCATCTTACATTGCTTATATTTGTCCTCAGAATCTATCCCATTCAAAGCACTTGTTTTCAGTTTCAACCCCTATGGCTCAAGTAAGTGAACAAGTTTTTGTGTTATCACTACCTCCCCCCCCCCCCCCCCACCCACACACACACACACCAAAAACAAGCCCATTGCCATCAAGTTGATTCTAACTCAGAACCTCTTAGGGCCTCTGAGGCTGTGAATCTGTATGAGAGCAGACAGCATCATTGTTCTTCCTCAGTGGATGTGAACCACCAGCCTTACAGTCGGCAGCAGCTCTATGCTTCTCCCACAGCACCACCAGGGCTCCTTGTGTTATCAATGTTACTGGTGAGTGCTATGGAGTTGGTTCCGACTCACAGTCACTAGGCTTTAACAAATTTACAGAAAGGGGTCACTGTGAGTCGGAACCAACTTGACAGTACTTAACAAAAATACAAACCACAAAGCAGTGGAAGCTGAATTTCCTGACTCCCAATGTAAAGTTATTTCTGCTGTTGTTGTTGTTGTTAAGTGCCGTCGAGTCGGTTCCGACTCATAGCGACCCTGTACAGGGTTTCCGAGGGTGTAAATCCTTACGGGAGTAGAAAGCCTCATCTTTCTCCTGCGGAGCGGCTGGTAGTTTCGAACTGCTGACCTTAAGGTTCGCAGCCCAATTCGTAACCACTACGCTCCAGTTATTTTAAAAGGTACTTTTAAAAACCAATTTTTTTTAAGTTCTGTAATTGGCTATTTTGGAGTCATGGTGTGGTGTTATAAAATAAGCACTAGAATGCTAACCACAAATTCAATGGTTCAAACCTACCAGTCGCTCCTCAGAAACTCTAAACATGGTCACTGTGAGTTGGAACTGGATTGACAGCACTTAACAATTTCTTAGAATTCAAAATGTTTAAACAACCGTCTGCTATATAGAGTTTTCAAGTTGATGGACGCAGAGAAGGAAAATTCACTTAAGATACTGTTACTGAAATTTACTGGCAAATCCGTTTTGGATACAAATACAACTAACAAATCCTGACAGGAATTCTGACACATTTACTGATAAATCCATTTCCAGTACAGCTACAACTCCTAAGTGGGTTATGGAATGACCACGTAACAGCACTCACCTTAACATTATCAAAAACCCAGGTATCCAGTTTTGTTGCATCGTGGGCACCAAAATCCTCTCTTTCAGCACCATAACTATGTGTATAAACATGGTCTCCACTAGCACCTGCAAATTTGGGGGGGAAATTAATTTAAAAATCTTTTAAACTCTTATCCAATATGAGATCATCCTTTAAAGAGTCTGAGTAAGCAGAATTTCTCACAAGACACAATGTGTCATGATAGGGAGGAGAAAGATGGCAAGAACAGTAAACATGCACTTAGTGTCCACTATGGAGTCCTGGTGTGGCGCAGTAGGGTAAGCACTGGACTGCTGACTGTAAGGCTGGTGGTTCAAACTCACCAGCTGCTCCTCAGAAACCCTATACAGGGTGGTTATGGGTCACAACAACAACGTGCCGTGGACCATGCCCTATACTCTCACATCTGCTGCGGCTTCTCTGCCGCACAGTAACAAATTCACGTTTTACACCTGGAGTGCATGAAGTTCCTTAACAGGGCAGCCACACTGCTGCCACGTGACAGGATAATCATCAAGGTCTGTCTCCCTTACTTAAGGAATGAACTAGTGAAGAAAGTTTGCCTCTCAGGATTATAATCAAAAGTTATTTCGATTATAGAACTTCCTAAAGCAAAAAACAACCCTTAAATATTTTACTTCTCTTATCCTTTGAATAGGCATCCTGGTGTGGCACCATAGGATAAGAGCTCTACCTCAAGGCTGGTTTGAACCTCAAAGTCAACAGTTCAAGTTTACCAGCTGCTCCTTGGAAACCCTATACAGGGTCACTATGAGTCGAAACCAACTTGACAGCACTTAACAACAATCCTTTGAATACAAATAAAAATACACATTTTTTTTAATACAGGAGAATGAGACATCATGGTAGCACAGTGGTTAAAGTGCTCATTGCTAACTGAAAGGACAGCAACTCAATGCCATTCCACAGGCAAAACATGTGATAGTCTGCTTTCATAAGAATCCAGGAATGGACACCTTCTGGGGCAGTTCCTCTCTGTCCTATAGGATCACTAAAAGTCAGAATCAACTCCATAGCAGTAAGTCTGAGTTTGGGTTGTTTCCTTTCAAAACAATAGGCAAAGCTTTTGAACCATAAAAATTATTCTTCATCTGTGAACCTACAAAATCTAAAATACAAATTGCCGACTGCAGTGTGGCGCTGTGGGTTAATGCACCAGACTGCAAAGCCATTTGAACTGCAAGGTCAGCGGTTTAAGCTCACCAGCTGCTCCTCGGGAACCCTATACAGGGTCACTATGGGTTGAATCGACTCAACAGTCCTTAAAAACAACAACACAGAGTGGTAGAAACAGGCACAAGGAACACACTTCCATTACAAATGGGAAACACTGGAAGGAAAGAAGGAATAATTGGCACAAAGCAAGACAAAACGCCAGCAGAACAATTTACGTTCACTCTCAAGGCTTGAAAAGAATCCTCTGCTCCCTGACATCAACTGGACTACAGCCCTGCTCTGTAGACTCTTGAGCATTGGCCATGCTTTCTGAACACTGGGGGTGGAAACTTTGGGCTTCAGCTCTACTCTCCAGGCCACAGGGAAGCAACTCACTCCCTAAGCTTTGGGTAGCCCCGTTCTCCTGCTCTGCCTCGTTCTTCTGTCCCCTGAGCATGGCAGCCTACCGCCCCCCCGACATGACATTCATGAACAGCAGTCCCACACTCTAGAAGTGAACCGCTAGAGATCTGACTCTGAAACCTAAGAGGCCACAGCCCCACTCTTTGAAATGCTACAGGTTGTGACCCCACCCTCTGAAACCAAGGCAGTTCTGCTTCCCATACTCGTCTCGTCAGTTTCTGTTTCTTGGTTCCTCCAGTAAGCCCCAACCTGAATGTGCTCAGCATTCTTGCTCCGTAGGAGGCACTGCACTGTACAGGAAGCGTCCTGTCTCTCTGTCCAGGGTCCAGGGCAGGCTGGCTCCGTGCTGTGCCATGCTGGTCTCGCAGTTGTACTGTCATTGCTTCTCTGCTACTGTTGCTCATCATCTGCACTGTCTCTGGTGTTACCACTCTCCTCTCTTCCTTCTGAACCCTCACTAGAATTGCCTTTAACATCCATAATTCCACTAACAGTCTCTTCAAAGCAATCTAGGGTTTTACTATTGTTGTTGTTGAGTGCCATGGAGTCAGTTCCAACTCATAACGACCCTGTACAGGGTTTCTGAGGCTATAAATCTTTACAGGAGCAGAAAGCCTCATCTTTCTCCCATGGAACAGCTGATAGTTTCCAACTGCTGACCCTGAGGTTAGCAACCTGATTCATAACCACTACACTACCAGAGCTCCTTAGGCTTTTACTATTGGGTACCTTAAACCTCGGCCAGCCTCTATCTATTATCCAATTCCAAAAGCACTTCCTCATTTTAGGTATTTGCTATATAGCACCCCACTCCTGGTGCCCAACTCTGTCGTAGTTCTCTAGTGTGGCTATAAAAAGTGGATGACTTTAACAAAGAGAACTTTATTCTCTCAATTTATGAGGCTGGAAGTCCACACTCAAGCACCAGCTCTAAGAGAAGGAAGGTTTCCTCTCTCTGTGGGTTCTGGGCGAAGGTCCTTGTCTCGGTTCAGTATCTGTCAGCTTGATGTTCATTGGAGAGCCCCATGTGTCTTGAGATCAGTCTTCCCCGTGTCTAGGAGGTTCCCAACACAGAGATCCTGGGTCCAAGGGACATATTCCACTCCCAGGTTTTCTCTGTTGGTGACAGTCAGGTCCCACTTTGTGCCTTCTTAGCTCTTCTTTCATCTCTTGTAAAATATAAGGAAACTCCCCTTATATTAGATCAGGGCTGTGCCCTGCGTATGGGTGTGGCATCACTCCCTAGATCTTGGACAGCTCATCATGGAGGGTGATCACATTAGACAACTGCCACATTATCACATTTCAGAACTGCCAAGTCACAGCAAACCATGGCCCAACCAAGTTAACATGTATTCTGGAGGGACACAATTTAACCCATGACATCTGTTAACTTAAACTATCAGGCAGCTAGTTTGCATGGACTGTCTAATACAGGCCTCAAAACAAACCTCTCAGAATTTATTACCATCACATTTACCAAACAGAAAACCAAAGCTCAGAGAGTTTATCTAACTTTTTGAAATTATACAGGTAATAAGTAGTAGGGCCAAATACTGCTCACTGACTCCACGGTACTGTCAGCTGTATGATGGCCCATATACTGCTCACTGAGTCCACGGTACTATCAGCTGTATGATGGGCACATACTGCTCACTGACTCCACGGTACTATCAGCTGTATGATGGGCACATACTGCTCACTGACTCC